TATATTGTTTTTACTCAGGCTCTGTGAAAAAAAGATCGTAATTCAACTTCTTTTAACATATCATCTTTTTTACCTTAGAACCATTATTAATATAAACTTGGGATAAATACCTCAGATCTGGTTTTGTAGATTAATCTAATAAATATCAGATTAAAGAATCAGATATATTAAATTAAATCTTGGTTCTTCAAGTGATGGTAGAGTAAAATATAGGTGTTAAAGTTTTTTTCTAATTCCAATCATGCAAGCCAACAAAAATTCTTCAATTTTTCTAAGCTAATATAGTTTTTCCAGATCCTGCAATTCCATGAATAAGCAATGCATTCTTTCTTTCTTTATCCTTTCCATAAGAATTCATTGACTACTGCCTCAAAGTTATTTTATTCTTCAATAAAAATTTGTGTTTTCCTTTATATTTTATTCCAGTTTTAAGGTTAATTTCAAAGCAATACATAGGAATATAAATGTTTTAAAGATCATTTAATTTTTTATTTTATAGCACTGTATTCTTCTAATATCTAATAAATCTTTAAAGGACTTCCCTCTTAATAATATTATATCTCTAGCAATATCATTGACAACTTTTTTCAAGTTTTCAACTTGTTATTTGATTAGAGATATTCTTTTCTAATTTCTAAAAGAATGGAAATGCTAAATCCATCTTTAGCTCATATCTTATACATTTATTATAAAATTCTCCAATTCATCGCACTTCTTTTCAATTTCTTCCTTTTCTATTCTCTTATGAAGATACTTTTCTCTTGCATTAATTTGTTTTCTAATTCAGTAATTTCTATTAATTTATTTGATTCTTTCAATTTTAATTTATTGTTTTTAAATCTCCTGAGAACAAATTTTTTTCGAAATCTATTATCTCTGTATTTTTGATAAATCTGACATTTTAATCTTTTTCATTGATCCAACAATCTAACAATATCTTTTCAATGCTTTGATTGAACTAATAATATTAGATATCTGACATGTTTTCTGGCCTTTTCAGAATAATTTGATCCTATAGGTATGCTTTATTAAGCCAATTAACATTCTATCTTCTTATATTTTTACTACATTTACTCAATTATTCTTTCTTAAAGAAATCTCAGTTTTTAAAATTGTAAAGAAACCCTAATGAAAGAAGGCTTTCTCATAATTTAATCTAATTTATATTGCTTTGTTGCATTTTCTATGGCTAACATATCGTTTTAATTACCTTATATTTTGTTTTTCTTATTTATTGATGTTAGTACATTTGACTTAAATAGAATTTTTTAAAACATTCAATTTATCAAATTAATATCCTAGAAGTCATGCTATTAAACACATACATAGAAATAATTGTTTTCAATCCTAAAGTGGTCATGAATAGTAATCATTTACTTTATTATAAATTATTTTTATTAGATCCAACTAAGCATAACATTGCTTTAAATTTTTAAATGGATTTTTGATTAAATTTCTCTATGTCAATTATTGTAATAGAAACATGGCGATTGATAAAAAAATTTTTAAAATATATATATTGTAGCATTAAATGGTTGTTCGCTATATTAAAATTTTCAAAAATTGCTAGTAAAGGTAATAAATATTATTTGATATAGACAAGATACCTGAAATTAAATTAGAAATCAAAAATAGCTAAATATTAATGTTTGTGTGGTTTTTGAAATCTTCGTTTTAGTTTAATTGTTATAAGTTTTATAGCATATATATTAACATTTAATATTATTATTGTTCTATTTATGCTTATATTAGCTTTTATATAATGATGATATATTTCGAAATAATTTATATTTATTTTATGATACATAAATTTATCATAAGTATACAGTTTATTAATAATATTGTGTGAATATAATTAAAACTCCATCAACCATTGATTAAATTGAGAATACTTTTGTCATTTGTCTTCATTTTATCTTCAAAATACAATAGTATTTTGGATATATTATCATTTTCATTTATTAATAGGCTGATATCCAAATAAAATAATACAATAATTTATTTAATGATCCTTGTACACTTGTACAGACATTTGAGCAATCTACATAAATTTAAAATATTATAATTATCTTACAGTAAGCACTTATTAGAAGTCTTATTCATTTAAGAAATAATTAATATAATCGCTTTACTATAATGAGCTGATATTATGGTTTCATTGAAATATATTAATTTTATTCAGCTCTCTTAAAATATTATCTCAATTATTGATAAAATATTTATTTATCTATTTTCCTATTTGTTCCAGTTTATTTTTACCTTATTTATCCACGGGGATTGGTATTTTAATAAATCTCTCTATCTTTTTTCAAAGTTAGATTAAGGGTTTATTCAGTTACTTATAATTGGTAATATAATGGGAATTGTATGAATGTATGAAAATGAGATATTAATTATTATGATATACCAAAATCTAAACTTTTTATTACTCCCCAAATCTATTTTTGTATAATTTTTGCTTTGATTATACCAAATCTATTTTTGCTCGCTGCAAATATTCTTTGATTCTTTGTATACAGATAGAAGATATAATTAATTAGGCCTATTATGTATTGATTTTTAAATATTTTCCTTTTACCACAAACCCGATTATCCTATTATATGAGTGTATATCAATAATGATATTCTTTTATATACTAAAATATTTGATTAACCCTATAATACGATATATTGATTGAATATTTCTATAAATATTAATTAGAATCTACTTAGAGTTGATGAAGAGAATCTTTTTTCTTTGAGATTGATAAATTAACTCTTGTTTCATTTAATCTTCCTAAATCAGTTATGCATCTAAACAAAATTTTATTAGTTCTGAATCGACAACCAAAATATCATTTGACATGCTCAAAAATATCCATAATGTACATTCTAGCAGAGGAATAAATTGGATATAAAGTATTTTAAATAAATTAGCGAAATCCACATTTTATAGAGAGATGTTTGATTACATTATTATGTGAAAAGCTGATAAAATAAGAGAAAGAGCTACTGCCAATGTGATAAATTACAGATTAACAGATTTCATTTTTTTAAAGAGCTGTTTTGTGAAACTCAAGGAAAGTATAATGATGCTTTTAAATACAGCTTACAGCCAATAGAAAGGTGAGGTAAGTTAGAAAATCTAATATATATACTTGAAAAATATACTAAATAATTTAAAGAAAAACTTTATTAACTGAATTTTTAAGCAGCCCACAAGAGTTACCTAACATTCCTTTTTTCTTGAACTATCAAAGACTCAATCTCAAAGAAAAAATGTGGCTATACACTTCTAAAACATATTTTAAAGTTTTTCATTCTTTGCTTTATAGATAAAGTACCTTTCCTAAATAATTTGAGTATTAATATAATTGTTAAATTTCAGAATATTAAGAGATCTTAAATAGAGTCCTTCTTCGATACTCAAAGTTTTAATCATTTTTTCATGTTTTTCTCATTTAATTTTTTTATTGAATATTATCAAAACACTAATCTTATCATTTTTGATGATTTATTATTGATGAAATAGAAATGAATATCCATAATTAAAATTTATTATCTTTTTAATGATTTAAATAAAACTTTTCTAAGATATTCCTATAAAAACGTTTTGGTCTTTTCAATAATTGAATTTCATTAACTGTTAAAAAAGAATTTTCAATGATTATATAACAAATGAATAGTATATGGTCGAAATTTTATGCCATGATTTTTTATTGATCATTGAATCAAATAATAGCTTAAAGTGGGTTTTTTGTATGAATTAACAATAATTGTTTATTTAAATAATAATCAATAGATATTAAAAGAATTTAAATATTTATAACAATTTTGAATTAATTTCACGAAATCATAGATTTAACACATCTATTCTTTTAATGAATAGATGACTGTATTGATAAAGCTAAAAATATTTTTATTTGATGAATGGCAAGAACCTTTAAATAAGACGAAAATGATCAAAAATATTTACTTTACCATAAAGGATAATTAAAGGAAGAATCTACTCAAATGTATTTCTATACACAAAACTTTTTAAATTATTAATAGTCCAAGTTTATGGAAAATAAATATTAAAAATGATGTTTATAAATTTTAGTTAAAAGAATAAATCAATACAAAGATAAAAATCGTTAATTCTAATTTTTATAACAATAAGATAAGAGGAGTAGGTAAAAAATGCAAAATATTTAAAAATATAGCAATTAAATATAGAGTATAGAGGAGGTTTATATCTTGTTTAAAATATCAATAGCTTTCTATGTATAATATAAAATAATTAAAGTTAAATAGGCTGGTGGTATTTATTTTAATGTTGAATACATTTTGAATAAAACCAATTTTATTAAGACTATGTTGCTTTTTAATAAAGCTCAAAATTTTGCAAATAATCTAATAGAAAGCCCAACACATTTTTCTTCATAAAAATAAAAGAGAAATGCAATCTCAAATTTTTTACTATAGTGGTTGGTGTAATTCTATAATGTAGCCGAATGTTTTATCTTTATTATAATTCTTTTTATAACTTCTAAAGTGTTAAAGGATCTATATAATTCTATATAATTTCAGCAATAAAATCCTAATGCTTTGAAAGGACTCATTGATTCTACATTTATGTATTTCACATCTTTAAAAAAAAGGTTATCTTTATATAATATATGTTTTATCTTCTTTTCCACCTACAATCCCTTAACAATATGGTAAATCTATTAAATCATCTAGAAATGTTAAATAATCCTAATTTAATTTTTCCATTTAATTGTTAATAAAAATATAGCCAATGATTTTGGTTGTTATTTTTAGTATTTCACAATACAATCTATCATAATTTCAAATCCTTCTAACGGTTTTTATTAATACAATAATAATAACGCATTCAAAACCTAATCTAGTCAAAACAGATTTTGTAGGGAATTTAATTTGTGAGGGGGATTCTATCTCTATCATCTATATTGAGTAAGGATTCAAAATGATTTTAAATCATTTGTGAACAATTTTATATGTTCATAATCATTATCATCAGAAAAAGCACAAAGCAATTTATATTAATAATCTTTATTCAGCTTTTTATTTTACCCAATATGAACTCTTAATATCTAATCCAATATCATCTCACCTTGATCTTAACATTCAACCCCAACAAGCATCATATGCTTAAATTTTAAAGAAAATTCTTTCGGAATAAGTTATTTTTTTTCTAATAGATCAAAATAAAATTACATCAAATGGAGGATTTTTAATACTGAATCCTAAAATGATTATTGCTCCATCTATGAATCTTTTATTGATAATATACTCTTTGCTACAGTTGTATTTAGTTATAGTTTGGATATGCAATTTTAAATCTTAAATCTCATTAATATTAACAAAAAAATGATTTATAAATGAAATTATTTATTTATCAAATATCCTAGATTATATAAAATTATCAACTTAAAATAAAAGTTTGAAAATTTATTAATGTACATATTTGTAAGATTTAAAATTTAAAAATAATAAATTTTTAAATTCTAGAATGTTTATCTCAATCTATATTTAAAATAAAAGTCTTAACAAATCTGTAATATTTATTGACACCTCATCAATATAGGTTGAATAATATTATTCAATATCTCTTAGGATTCTGGCATCTTTTACTTAACAAAATTAATTTCAACAACTTTTCTTTCAAATCTACCAGATCTTCCTATTCTTTGAATGTACAATTCTCTGGAGGAATTGATAACCAAAGTAACTTATTGAACATCAAGTCTAAAGATAATGTTAAATCAAATACCTTCTATCCAAACCTCAGTTGTAATCAAGACCCTCTTATTTCCTTTTTTAAACTCAGCTATAATTTTATCTCTTTCCTTTTAATTAATTTTCCCATTCATTTAGACTGCAGTGAATTCATTTTCTCTCATTTTATTTGCCAACCATTCGCATTTTTACAAAGTGGATCAAAAAATAGCAGCTTAGGTAATTGTTATGAGAGTATTATAAAAATCATATATAGTATCAAACTTCCATTCCTCTTTATCAATTTAAATAATAAATTGTTTAATCAATTTATCTCTTTTGACTAAAATTTTAAGAAGATTATTCAACTCTTTTCTTTAAATCATCATATCAAACACTTTCCATATTATAAGTTGCTAATATCATCTTATATTGAATGTCCTCTAATGCAAGCATAAAACTATACCATTTTAGCCATATTATTACTTGAAACATTAAGGAAATCACTTGCCCTTAATTAAACTGCTGAAAGTTAATAAAATCAAATGAATAGATTCATAAGATTACGTTTATATCTCCCTCTTAAAAGTTCTTCTCTTAATTATATTTATTCAAATATTGAATATATTGTTATCTCTTATGAAGTTTCATACTCCACATTATACATAAATAAATTATTTAATTATTCATTACTCACAATAATTCTGCTTCTCTATAATATAATATATTAAATCATTCTCTATTAGCCATTACATCTTCTGTATAACTTTATCTTTCAACTATTAGTTTTTTCCCTTCAAATTTTAAAGATTGTCCTTGCTCAAAGGGAGCAACTCTTCTCATAACTTACCTTACATAAATTTTAATCTATTTAAATTTTGATTTGCTCCTTATTCTTATGGTTTTAAAGATTATATTTAAAATAAAAAATTATTAATGTTTTATTGAATCTAAGTTTCGTATAGAAATCCTTGATTTTTATTATAGCATTTAATTAATCCCTAAACAATAAAAATAATAGACTGGATATTATAACAAGCAATTAATATATTCAAATGGAACGTTTCAATAAGTAAGTCCAACAATTTATTAAGGATATAAACGTTAGAAACAAAAACTATGTATCTGAATGTCTAAAAAGGAACTAAAGATGCAAAGATCAATGTAAGTTATCTACAATTGGTGCAAATAACTTAATTAAATTAAGCTTTAAAAATTGGACTTTAGTTAATTTTTAATACAATTTGAAGATAAGAATTGATTTTTATCAAATCCATTGGTTTCAATTTGTTTAAAACAATAAAAAAATTATTCAATAACTAAATCAAAATATTGTTTCATCTTGTCATAAAGTAACAAAGATAAATTGAAATAAATAGAAAATTATTAATTAAAATAAATACTTAAAATAGAATATTGATAAAATGAATATATTAATTGCATCTCCACAAAATAAAACAATAATGGGATAATAAAAGATACTTATAATTTGTCTCCAAAAGAATTCCTTTAGATGAAAATGTGATAGAATGTGAAGATGAATAGAAAGGTATCCTAATCTTTAATTGGAAGAGATAAGAAATAATTTAAAATAAAAGGATGAATTTTATCCAATAAAAAATAAAAAGTGTAGATTTTGTAATAATTAGAGGTCCAACTGGATGGAAAATAAAATTCTTAAATTAAATAGGAACAATAGACACTCCTACTAGTGGAACAATAATTTTATTAATAATTAATATGATAAGATTATTGGGTCAAGAAGTCAATAAATTATCAAAAGATTCTTATTTGAGTCAACTAAGATTGTGCTCTAAAAAATTTAATTTAATAGCTACCTATGACAGCTTATGAAAATGTAGAATTACAAAATAAGAATATTGACAAAATTAGTAAAATAATTATATATAAATCATCAGAATGATATGATTAATAATAGAGAGTATCAATAGCGAGATCTTTGGTTAATTCACCTTATAGCCAACAGGCATTTAGATTCAAAATCAACAATGGAAGTAATTGATATATTATTGTAACTTTTTAAGGCCTATTCTATAATTAGAAATCAATTTATAAAGTAAACCAATAACTATGGATCAAATGCAAAATAAAAGGTAATACTAAAAAAATAATCATCTTACAAAAGTTTTAACTCTTTTTAAAACCTTTTTTGATTCAGAAATACTAGCATTACCTTATAGTTTTGAATTAGGAGGATATATTCTATCAACAGCATTTTTGCTTCTAAGTTTACTAATAAATTATTAGTAAGTTTACTTCATTAATTTGGCTTATAATATAGAAAGCCAAATAAACTACTATAGAGTATTCAAAAATTTATAGATCATTAAGCAAATTAATTGTAGGCGGAATTTTTTGAAATCGCCTTTGAAATAAATGCAAAATTAACCTTTTAGCATTAATTATATTACGTATTAATAGCTTTTCCCATGACACTTAAATAAATGTAGCTGTATTCACAAAAAATAATTTATTGTTAGTTGTTATGCAATTCGATTAGTACTCTCATTTTCAATGTAATTATTGCCTGCATTTTTAAAATTTTGGAAGAAAGTGAAAGAATTAAATCTTGTGTAATAATTAAATATTAATTTTTAGATAAATAAAAGTTAAGATTAATCAAAATTTTAAAAGAATAGTAATAAGTGTGGTGTAAGTAATTCTTTTAAGGTTTATTGCTATATTTATTCCATAATTTGCAGTTTGTCATTGGTTAGAGGATTCTCTGGAAGCTCTCTTGAATTCTATTTTCCATTAATGAATGAGAGGAAAATTTTCTATGAAAGCTAACAAGCAGGATATAGGTGAGCATATTGTAGTTTAATGATATTAGGAATGATAATTCCAACTATAAATTTTCTTATATTATTAATTTAAAGATGATTAAGCTTACTATTGATTTTATAAAATAAATTCATAAATCATAACTCAATTTTAAAGGTTCTTTTCCATGAGATAATTATTAATGTTGTTCAATAACTTTTTAAATTTTATAAAATTCTTTGTTGTCTTTAATCATCTTTTTATTAAATAGTTATCTATTTATTATTATTTAAAGGAATAACATGAATTTTTCACTTAATTCGAAAGATCAACTTATCTATTTTTATTTTTTCCAATTTTATACTTGATTATTCTGATAACCTTATTTTCTTTGTGTTTAGATTCTACAATTGATAAATATCTTCCATATCATCTTCTGTTAAAGTCTAGATAGAAGATTGTATATTGACTTATTATAAAACAGATTCAAATTAGGATGTTTTAGATTCTCCTTTATTAAAGATTTTTCAGCTTGAAAATTCTATTGTTATCCATCAATAAAAATTTGATACTATATTAATTTTATTTTCTATTTTATTATAATCAACACTTTATGGTTAATCAATTCCATGTGCTCCATCTTCTGCTTTCCTCATAATTTCAGGAGTCCAATGCATTTCACCAAATACTATTGTAGATAATGGTGTTAAAGTAATTCCATAATTTGCTGATGTAGTTTTTAATAAAGCAATTCTGATTTGATGATTATTTTAAAATATTTATACATTCTAATATCTCGACTCTATACCAACATTTCCATCAATTCTTATAAATTATATTTCATTCTATACTAATTATTTTAACTTTCAATTACTTTAAAACTAGTAGATTATATAATCTTTTAAATACTCTAGCTTTTTTAACTCTTTTTATATTTTTATTTTATTTTGCCTTAGATAAAGTTCCTTCAATTAATTTAATTTATTATATGTTTCAAGTGTTAAAGTATTCATCCTAAAGATTATTCAACCAATCTTTAAAATATATTAATGTTTAATTTTTCATTGATTCATTTTAATTTATTATATGAATTTTTTTTATGAAACAATTATTTATCTTTATAAGTAATTTTTAAGCATTTAATATTTGTATAAATATTTTTGCTTTGAAATAATTAACAAAATAGAATTTAGCAAATTTTATTGTATCATCTCAAAATACAAGGTTCTTTTTAGTAACAAGCACATTTAAATTGCGATCGAGACAATATCACATCCTAATTAAGATATTTCAGTTTGATTTTCATAACAATCATAAGTCAATGGATTCCATCTACAATATCCTTCTGTGTTCTTATAACATATAATTGAATTAAAACTAGTAATATTACAACCAATTGATGGACTTTTTGTATAACAATGCTTTATTAGTTTAATCATATTCACATCTGTAACTATCTTTTGTTATTCTTAAACAAACACTTTAACTTGATGGACCATTTGTATAAAAGTAATTACATTAGACATCAGTAGAATTTGTCATTAATTAGTGAAAATTAACAAGATGTATTTAGATTTTCAATTCAAGCCTTTAATTCTGATTATAAGAGCAAATGTTTATTTCATCATATTAATCATTTCTAATTGTCTACCCTTTCTAGGAATCAGGATTTTATTTAAGTAAAAATAATTATAACTAGTTTTAGTTTGCATCTTAAATTTTATTTAAAGAAATATTTTAAAGTTTTTTTTTGTTTTCTTTAGAGCCTCTACCACAATTATTTTGTTGGCCATTCTATCTTGTGACAAGTATTTCTATTCATTGAAGAACTTCTCATTTAATTTGAATGAGAATAATTTTTAACAGCTTATGGTTTTGATATATCGACTAGATCTGAGGTTAATTGTTAGCATATCAAATTTGAACCATTAAAAGAAATAAACACCATTAGCTTAACTTGAATATCTAGCATAGCAGACAATTTCAAGGACTAAGTCTTTATTTTAGGTTTCATATTATTTTAAAATTTCATTTTTTTAATAGAATCTAATAAATCAGCTTTAGCGAATGGTAAACAATTTAATGTTTTCTTTAAAAATTAATCATTAAAAATTACATAACAGTTATTCCTTAGGCAAGCAATCTAAGTGATTCTGTTTAAATAAATCATAAATCTTATTATGAGCTGAAATATATTGAGCTATCCTTCATAAATAATTATCAATGAGAGTTAGAATTAGGATGAATTATGATAAGTAAAAGTGATTCAATGATCTATAATTATATTAATTAAATTAAATCATAAAATTGAATATCTTAAATCAAAAATAAGTATAGGAAGCATCAGAAACTATATACAAGATTCATAATCAAGAACTGATTGCAGTTAATTTAGATTTGCAGGATAAGGCACAAATTTAATTCTTTTGCTGCAAATGCTTAGTTGATAAAATAAATAATAATAAAGTGACTACTAATAAATAGGACTCATCATTATTTAATGTTATTATATTTCTACCACCTGCTAACTGATATCCTTTAATATCATTAATTGCTTTTAAATTCCTTCCAACATTGTTTTAAAACATTATTTCATTCCTCTACATTATTTTCAAATTCTCCCTAAAGATTTTGATATTTCTGTAACTTCCTATTCATTTGTTCATTTTTGTTTTATTAGATTTTTTGTGGATTAAGCCAATTAAAGTGGAATTACTTTGCTAAAAAGATTTGACTTGTAAGTAAGTTAATTATTATCCGTTTTTTGGCATACAGATCCAAGGTTTAAATGAGGAACTAATTCATGATTATCTTTCTTTGGGTTTGTCTCATAGAAACTTACGGTTTTAGATTACTTTAGCGTTCTGATTCCTAATTAGTACTGAGAAACTTATTTTGAAGCCAGTTTAGCATTGCCTTTTGCCTATTAGAAATTTAGTTATTATTGGATATTATTTAAAATAGGAGTATTTTACAAATCATTTTTATTTCCACCTAAATGTACCTACTTATTTAATAGAGGTAATTCAAAGAATTCATTAAATCAACACTAAAGTTTAAATGAATATAAGGGAAGACTGTTATTCTAAGTGTGGAGTTGAGCAAATAATAGGTTGTGAAATGTTTGTAAGAATTTATTCATCACTTTTAAATAAGTCTATTGAATGTACTCATTTTCTTCTTATATAACCTTTCTTCTAATTTGTTTAGAAATTGTTGTTTTAGAGATACTCATTTGAGTTTGGAAATTTTATTCCTCCTCCTTTTCTAAATCTTTTTTATATTATACAAAGATGATTTATTAATCCTTAATTATCATTAGAAAGTTATTTTTTTATGATAGTAGAAATCACAATTAGATTGAAAATATTAAATAATAGTTGAATACATCATCATTTAGACTATAATATAATATTATCAAGATTTATGATTGATTCAAACCAAATTACATTATTTCATTCTGAAGTATTTAACTCATAAATTAATTAAAATTTGTACTTAATTATCAACATTATGAAAAATATTTTGAGAGATGCAATATCTACTCGTCCATTTTTATTTCATCATATCTTTAAATATTTTAAACAGGATCTAAAATTAGCAATAAAATTATTTCAAAAATAGATGAATTATCAAGATTGTAATTAAAAAAAAATAAAATGGTAACTAAATTGCTGTGATTTACAATTAAATAAATATTCTTAATAAATGGTAGATTTGATTTTAACATTATTGTCATTAGCAATCAGACATTCCTATTCTTAAATTGTTGAAATTCTATTATTAGTGATAAAATTTCCTTAATATTAGAATGAAGGCTTATCAGTATTCTAAGTCAATTTGAGAGTAATGAATATATAATCATCAACCAATTTAAAAATTCTAAAAGAATTTTAAAAACTAGAAATACAAAAGACTTTAATTGAGGATACCTCTGAATATTCAGGAATGATAATCAATCGAATTTCTTAATTTCCTAAACCTAAAACTCCTTATAAAATTATTATTAAAACTATGAAAGAAAATCTAATACAAACTTCTAAATGCATAGAGGGTTTAAACTAAAACTATATTGTAAAATAAATGATAAAAATGACCATTTTTAGTCATCAAATTGATATTAAGAAAATAAAATTTATAAATAAAACTAATAATAACATTATTAAATAAAAGAATTATAAGAAAAACAAGTTTCTGATTATAATTTATTTAGATGCGAAGATTTTGTTGAATAATTATTGTACTAAATATTCTAATTTAAATATGTAATCATTTATTTAAGAGTTTTAATTAGATAATATGATGATATTATTTTAAAAATAATTCAACAATAATTGTTATTATAAGAATTTAGATTACTTAATAGAATAAATGCTAATACCTATACCAACTAAATATACTTATTCCAATTTCGATTAATCAAAAAAAAATAGATAATTATTGTAGATAATTTACAATAGAAATAAAATAAAAATTAAATGATAATAAGTAGGTAAATTTTAGTAATATTAAAAATAACTATAAAAATAGAATAATCATTTTGATTATCTTAAATTATTAATTTCATCTAAATTGAAATATGATATTTCATATTAAGGTCTTTGTGAAGAGGTAATTATAAATTTCTAAAATTTACTCCATCTTTATAGAGGATCATTGTAAATTTTACATAAACCTTATATAAATATAGACTGTAGATTTTTTACAATAGAATAATTTGAATTATTTAATGATTACTAATAATAATGAGAACAATATAGACCTATAATTAATTATGAAATAGATATACTAATTATTATGTTTATTTAATTATATAAGTATCTTAAATATAAATAATAAAGAATGACGATGTAATTGTTAAAAAAATAAAATTAAGTTTTGGTAATTTATTAAATTATTTTTTGATACGAAGTTATGTGATGCCATAAGATAAATTTAAAATTGATTCTTAATCACTAATGTAAATAGAAGCTTAAAGAATTTTTAATTAATATTCTAATGTAGTTCAGGAAGATATTATTAGCATTTAATTATATAACATAATAAACAAGTGGATTAATTGAACATTAGAAGAACATTGTTAAATTTTAAAGACTTAAACATAATTGCAATTAAAAATTTGTTAAGGAAATATATTATTTTCAAGGTATTGAAATAAAGAAATGAATTGTTTTGTATTTAACTAATTATATACTCATTATAACAATAGTTTTGGAAATTCTTCAAATCTTACCAAACCAAAAGAAAGGATTTCCAAATTTAGTTCCTTAATTCTTTTTGTCCATACATTAACCGGTAATTAAATAATGATAAAGATAATCATAATTGGAGAAATTTATTTTAAACTTACTGCTAATGTGTATTCACGTAATAAAGCATCAAATAAGAATGTTGCCAATTAAGCTTTTTTGACTCTTATACCAAAGTCAAAAATTAATTCTAAATGTACAAGTCTATAAAAGAATTCATTCTCATAGCAAAGTATTATATTAACAATGCGATGTGACTTCAACCATAAAACTTTTAAAGAGATGATTATAATTATATACCAAAGGCCAAGTTACTATACACGTAAATAGATCTCTTCTCATTTGATTATATAAAGATGTCTCAATCAATTGTCCTGTTTTATAATATGACATGATAGGATGGATTTATGATAAAATAATAAAAGGCCACTACATAAAGCATGTTATAAAACCCAACAAATTTTGTATGATTTAACTCTGAATCCTTTTACATATCATCCAAAAGAGAAACTCTATTTACAAAAGCATGTTTTCTCAAATGCTTAATTAGGAGTAGAAGTTCCTGAACTAATCTTCTCTTCTTCCTCTACTTGTTATCGTTTCATCAATATTAGACAATATATATTTTATACAATAAAAAATCTCAGCTGCGATATTAATACTTTTGACCATACTCTAGATACTTTCGGTTTTTGTAATTATAAATATACATGTATTCCATTTTGCATTGAATTCTTCAAAAGTTGTTGCATTCCACTTTATTATTAAATTATATTTAATACCAATCATGTTAGAATTCTCTATAACTAAAATACGTTATTTCAGCTACAAAATTTAATTTATTCCCAAAAGATAGAAAGAAAAAAGTACTATTCAAAATGCAGTTAATTGGGAATAATAATAATATTGTTTATAGAATCAAATCTGAAGTTCCTATTATTGATGGTTAACTATTATTACAGCGCCAAGGATATTAAAATAAGTTATATTAAATAACTTTGCAAAACAATAAATTAATATGATCTTCTTTGTTTTTGGATAATCGTGATAGAATACTAACGCTGGAGTATCATATAAATAAAGAATTCCCATATACTAATTGAATTTTACAATTTTTTATATAAGAAACTTCCTTNTAATTAAATAATGATAAAGATAATCATAATTGGAGAAATTTATTTTAAACTTACTGCTAATGTGTATTCACGTAATAAAGCATCAAATAAGAATGTTGCCAATTAAGCTTTTTTGACTCTTATACCAAAGTCAAAAATTAATTCTAAATGTACAAGTCTATAAAAGAATTCATTCTCATAGCAAAGTATTATATTAACAATGCGATGTGACTTCAACCATAAAACTTTTAAAGAGATGATTATAATTATATACCAAAGGCCAAGTTACTATACACGTAAATAGATCTCTTCTCATTTGATTATATAAAGATGTCTCAATCAATTGTCCTGTTTTATAATATGACATGATAGGATGGATTTATGATAAAATAATAAAAGGCCACTACATAAAGCATGTTATAAAACCCAACAAATTTTGTATGATTTAACTCTGAATCCTTTTACATATCATCCAAAAGAGAAACTCTATTTACAAAAGCATGTTTTCTCAAATGCTTAATTAGGAGTAGAAGTTCCTGAACTAATCTTCTCTTCTTCCTCTACTTGTTATCGTTTCATCAATATTAGACAATATATATTTTATACAATAAAAAATCTCAGCTGCGATATTAATACTTTTGACCATACTCTAGATACTTTCGGTTTTTGTAATTATAAATATACATGTATTCCATTTTGCATTGAATTCTTCAAAAGTTGTTGCATTCCACTTTATTATTAAATTATATTTAATACCAATCATGTTAGAATTCTCTATAACTAAAATACGTTATTTCAGCTACAAAATTTAATTTATTCCCAAAAGATAGAAAGAAAAAAGTACTATTCAAAATGCAGTTAATTGGGAATAATAATAATATTGTTTATAGAATCAAATCTGAAGTTCCTATTATTGATGGTTAACTATTATTACAGCGCCAAGGATATTAAAATAAGTTATATTAAATAACTTTGCAAAACAATAAATTAATATGATCTTCTTTGTTTTTGGATAATCGTGATAGAATACTAACGCTGGAGTATCATATAAATAAAGAATTCCCATATACTAATTGAATTTTACAATTTTTTATATAAGAAACTTCCTTCATAAATCCAATAAATGCCATAGCGCCTACAAAGACTCTAGGTATAATTCCAATAAAAATTTAACTGTAAACCATGGAATATATAATACAGGTAGTTATAAAAATAATACTAACAATATCTTCTAGCAAAACTTAAGTGCAAAGTAAACTGTATATAGATATGTGAGTTAGTATATATAAGGTTACATAATTATACAATTAATATTGATATAAAAATATATATTTCATATCATTCTATGAATAAATATAATCATAATATATTAAATCAATATATTTTGCTTTGATCAAAATTAAAGGAAAATTCTATTTATCATCAGATTAAATATCTTAATTCATTTTATTAATATTTCTTATGATTCTAAAATTAGTTGTTCTATTTATAACATATGTGGATGCTAATGAGTTATGGAATATATAATTTAGTTCATTCAATTCAAACAACATAATCGATAATGAAGGTACTATTAAACTTTTTTTAAGATGATGGGTACAAGGAAATTATGGATATATATTTTATTCTAGATGATTATGTTTAAAGTGAAACTTGGTATTGGAGTACTGGAGATGTTATATATGAGAGTCCAATTAGAATGAGTGGAGAAAAGAAAAAAAAATTTCGTTTTTGAATTTTCTCATTAGGATCCAATAGTTATTGTTATTATTAAAATTAATTTAGATGAAGGTCCACAAAATGTATTAATGTTTATTTATGAAGGAATCCTGGGGGTTTAGAAATTTTAAAGTGGAAGTTGTGCCACATTCATCAGGTTGTTTAACGTGTAATAATGAGAAACCTGATGAATGTTGGTAATATGATCTAATTGAAATAACCTTGTTTGATAATTTTAATTTTGATGGATGGAATCTTGATAATTAATAGTTTTCTAAATAAAATTAATTATTATTCCAAATATCATACTTCTAGAACTGTGCTTCTAATATTATTTTATAATGCGGAATCTAAGAACTATTTGCTACCTGTAATATAATTGACTCCTCCTATTATACCCAAATATTAGCGCATGAACTTTTGCTAATAATTGATTAACAAATTAGTGCATAAACAGTTTTTAAACAAATTAAAGTCATTAATGTGTGGTAATAGTAATGAAGGTGAAAAGTTACGCAGCAATCGTGTACCATAGTCTCATACATCTGATAAGATGTAAATCAAGATGAAATTTAACCTAGTTTCATCAAATGGATTTTGGGGATTAAGAGTTTTTAGATTATTTGTAGTTAAATGTTATGAAACATGTCTTGCGCATTCTGGGTCAAATAAGAATGATTGTTAAGCTTGTAAATCTGATTTATATTACATAATTTTGAATGTGTAGATGGTATCATTTCAATTATAATTTAGTAAAATGGAGTTTGGGATTAAAACAATTTTTTAACTTTAAGATTTTCAAGCTTAAATTGGATGGACTATATCTAATGTTTATAATAATAAATCCCCATTTTAAACATGTGATAATACTAATATATTGAGAGGATTCTCCTTATCAGCTAAGGATGCTTAAATAGCATTAGATTTTAATCCTAATCACACCAAAATAAGAGTCAAATTAGAATTTTGAAATTTGGTATTTTAGAAAATAAATGGTTTCAAGTTTATTAAGCATAATTTGGATTTTGAGAAAAGTAAGTAAATTGGGGATCAAATAATCCATATGTTTATAGAAAATTTAGATTTTGAATTTCTTCATAATAAGCCCTCTATCAATTTGTTAATGACGAGTATTTTAGATCAATTTGCAGATGAGGAATCTTGGGGTATCAGAAATTTTGAATTATTATATGGAGTACCAAATGAGTGTAGTTATCCTATCATAGATTTTAATAATATGCCAGAATTCATAGGAAATAGGTTTACTTAATCATCAGATTATTCTTTTGATCAATCATTATAAATAAAATAGTAATATCTGAACTTGGAATCTCTTTGTAGCCTAACTTTGAATAAACTATTAATGGTGATCCTACAATTTACAAACTAACTATTTCAATTATGTGTACTTGTTATTAAAATGATTTAACATTTTTGATTTCTATTTTACAAAAGTAGTTATCCAGATTACACAACAGCTACTGCAATTTTTAGATAGAAAAGATCGAATGTATTAAATTTTTTATTGATTGTGGAAAGAACAATAATATAATAATCATAAATTAGATTAATGGCAACATCGAAGTCCTTATAGATAATTTCAATAGTTGATAGTTAAAATATAAAACAATTTGATATGATAATAAATTGATAATTATTTGTTTCAATTCAATTATTAATTATTAAAATAAACTGTTATTTTAAAGTATTCTATAAATTATAATATATTATATTTTAATGTTATTCCAAATTATAAAATTATATCAAGAATAATCATTAAAAAATTATTTTCATTATGAATCATTGAGTTCCTAATATAGATTTATATAAAAAAAATGCAATATTAATTCAATTAGTAAAGCTACTTATTGCTACATTATAAATTGAACCACTCTCTTGAAAAAAATGTTCATTATTTTTCTTAATTAAGTAATAAGCTTACAACTTAAATCTTAATCAAATTAATGGCTACTATATCACAAGAATAATCTACTACATTTAATGTAGTATTTAATTAAAGAGAAACAGGGAGAAAGATGTTAAATGTAATAATTTTTATGAGATTTTTCAATTCAATATTAAATTCAAGTATGTATATATCATATTAAAAGGGGAAGTAGCTGTGCTTATAAAGACAGAAGATTAAAATGAAATAGTTCTAAAAGAGAATAACAAAAGAAGAAGTAATTATTTCTAATAATTTAGGGGCTACAAAGACATTTGAAGAATTGATAGCCTATAAAAAATAATATGACTATTTTGGGGAAATAGCTATTGAGTAAAGAATTCCTGGCACAGTTACAGTAATTGCTAAAGAGCCTTGTACTTTTGCAATAATAACTTTTGATGCATAATTAATAATTTATTGAGTGAATTATAGGCTGATAATTTGTATTTGAGGTAAGTAGTGATAGCTAGAATGTAACCATTTAGTTTATTGAATGAACAACAATTTTAATAGATTTTACACAATTATGAAGAACTCAATCTATAAGGAGGATGTTTATTATATAGAGAGAAATAGAATGCAGAAGCATTATATCTTGTAATAAAGGGAGAAGTGTTAGTATAGATTAAAGAATAAGTTGATAATGCAGCAGCTTAAATTTAAGAGTAGAAATATATTTTGTAAATTTTTAAAAGTAACAGAGAATTAAAAATATTGGTTTATTTGGATCGGAATAAATTGTTGGAGATTATGAATTATATTTAAATAAAAAATATAAGTAAAAATTAATAAGAAGAACAACAATATCAATAGTTAAAAGTGATTCTAAAATAATTAGAATTCCTATTAAATAAATTTTAGATGTAATAGAACATGGATTATCAGCAAAATGGTTATTAAGTTATTTAAATGAAAAATATATGAATAGAAGGAATAGTTAGTTATCAATATTATAATTGAAGGATGAATAAGAAAATAGAAAAATTTTGTCATTCATATCGCCTGAGTTCAAAAAAATGATTCTTCATTAAAGAAACATCATGATCAGAATAAAATATCGAGTGATCGTTATTAATAAGTAAATTAAAAACAAAGTTATGAGGATGGTAATACTGAATAAAATTTTTTTGTTTTAAAGAAGGAAATAAACTAATAAGATAAATCACTACTAAAATATTTACCAAAGGATTAAGTATTAAATAAGAGTAATACTCTAACTGGTTTTAGTATTGAGAAGTTTGCATCAACTTTAAAATCAAGAGTTAAATACACTAAATTATTATCTTAACTAGATGAAGAGTTAGCTTGTTATAGGTTTCATTCTACTCCAACTAAAACAAATGGATTTTCATTTAAATAGGCTTAAACTCTTACTAATATTCAATCTCCATAATATAAATTCAATTAAACATTCAAATTAAATTGATAATTATTTATTGTATTATAAATTTATAAATATATAAATAAATAATAATCAAAATTGAATTAATTAATCATTGTCCATTATACTGTTAATAAATTTATTTTACAATAATAAAAATAAATATTGTTCTTAATTCAAACATCCTAAGTTTAGAATATTTTATTCTTTAGATAGTTGATATTTTTAAGAAGATAGATAAGATAATAAATAATTAATATTATTTTT